TTCTGTGGCACACTTCAATTATGTTGATAAAAAAAAAAAAAAAAGAATATACTTACTGTGCTTTGAACTTCTTTAGAAAATAATTTAATTAATGATCTTTAAAACTTTTCATGGCAGAGTGGTTGAAAATCACTGCCCTAATTGTTCAAGTCCTTGAAATAAATTATTCTTCATACTTTGGCATTTTTCTCACTGTTTTATTGCTTAAAACAAGTGATCTCCAAAATTCTCTGATCATACACCTCTAACAAAAATAATGTTTGAGCAACTTTTGCAGGGGCTATTTTCAGTATGTTTTATTTATAGTTTATTTATATGAAATAGTATTAGTATTGTATATATTTACAAAAGATACACAAACATAGCAATTACTAAAGAATAAGATAAAGCATAAATAGACAGAATTTCTAGCATTTTTTTCTATTGCCCATTTTCCATGTACTGTGCTGGAACACCCCCACGACCCCAATTTTAGAAAATGCTGATATGAAGTAAACTTGTCACTGAAGAGAGTATACCAGAGGAGAGCCAAATATAGTAATTAATCTTCCTGTAACACCTCAAACAGGTGTACATGTGAGTATATTTTACGTTTCCAATTCAACATTGTCTTTACTGTATCCATGGTCTACATATGGATCATAATGGATATTTGCAAAAATGCAACTTAATGAAAACAATTTGAAGGAGCCATATCTCAAAAGTTCATATTATAAGGATATTGCTTTTGTTGTTAAACTTCTTGGCATTAAAATTAAAATATTGATACACATCTTCAAAGAAGGGATTTCATCTATTAGAGTTTTGTGTAAGTATAGGAGGATCTGCATTAGAAAATCTCATCTTCCACTTAAAAGTTTCCTTTCTAAAATACATTAGGACTGTTAAATAATAATGTTGGCTTATATATATGATAAGTTGCTTTCATTCAGTCCCCACAAATAGCCCCATGAGGCAAGCCAGTTACAGATGGGAAAATTAAGGGACAAAGGTTTTAAGGTCATTGTTGGTTTATTATCTTTCCCACAAATGTTCAATGATAACCTGGTTTACCATGTAAAGTTAGTTCAGGGAATCACTACAATATCAAATTAGAAATGGCATTTTGTTTTATAGAACTTCGGTATTAAATATAATTTATTATAACGATTGAAAACTGGTGACCTGCAGGCCAGTTTACTTTCAGATAATTGGAGTAATCAGAGGGCTCCATTAATTGATCAACCCAGATGATGGCATCCAGACCGTGGCCGTATTATCATCTACTTTTTTCACATTGGCTTCCATTGTATGACCTGTTAACTCATAACTTCTGTTACAATTCTCAATTGTCAGACGGTATTTCTTAGTGCGTACTACTTGGAGAAAGAATTGTCGTGTTTGCAAGGAGTAAACCACTTATTGCAATACCTTGAACCCTCCCCTCACTGAACACTGGAAATGGCTTTCCTGCTCAGGATTTGTAGTTCACCCTACGTACCGCCAATTTTGAGAACCGATACAGTAAGGAAAAACTCACGATCACTAACAAACTAGAAACTCAAGTATTTCAGTTTAGAAAAGCATGTGGGAAGTCATCCACCTGTGTTAAATCTTGAACTTGTAATAGCTAAAATACTCTTATTACATATAAAATCGAATTTATATTAACAAATACTCTGCTGACTGTAACTAAAAACAAAATACTTGGCTATGTTTTGTGGCTCACACCTGTAATCCTAGCACTCCGGGCTGCTGAGGAAGGAGTATCACTTGAGGTCAGGAGTTCAAGACCAACCTGAGCAAGAGTTAGACCCCATCTCTACCAAAAAGGGAAAAAATTAGCCAAGCATGTTGTCAAGCACCTGTAGTCCCAGCTACTCAGGAGGCTGAGGCAAGAAGATCACTTAAGCCAACAGGAGTTGCACGTTGCCATGAGCTATGATGACACTACTGCTCTGTAGCTCAGATGACCGAGCAAGACTCTTTCTCAAAAAAAGAAAAAAGAAGAAATTGACATTTCTCCTGCTACAGAATTGATACGTTGTATATATTCTTCAGCTATGATATCATTTATTACTATATTCCATGATTAGTTTTTTCAGAAGTCAAACTTGTCAAAAGAGAATCGGCGACCTGAACAATTGGGCAAACTGGACTAAAATTATTCCATATAAAGTTCTAAAACTTAATTTCTTGCAGATTAAGAAATAAAGAATGATAACAGAGAATAATTTCAGTTTTCTCTGATCCGATTGTGAAAACTCAGAGCTGTAATATTTCATGCAATCTCTACTGACGTGACTGACCTTAAGGAGAAAAATGATAAAGCACTGTCATCACCTAATACGATGTCGCAACTGAATATGGATTCACATTCAACAGGCTTGCTGGGGGGTTTCTGTTTCTGTTTCTTCAGCTATAAAAAGTGACAATTCTTTAAGAAATAAGTGCCACACTAAATGAAAGACCTTTTTACCCGTGCTAAAGAAACATAGCAAAGCCATTATGAATGATGTAGGAAGTTTAGGAAAATGAAAGCTACTATTAAACTTGACAGGCTGTCACAACAACAAAAACAGCAATCAACGTAATCATAGTAATAAAATAATATTTGTACTTAGCTTCTTTCAATGTTAAAATAATGGGCATCTTTTCTAAGTTAGCAATTTTGAATATCAGCAAAAATCGCAAAACCCCAGCTAAAAATCTCTCCATGTGAAGCATCTTGACGTTATTTCAAGTAACTGCTCTATGGTTTTGTTTTCTTCCAATTTCCTTTAAGATGATTTCATTCACATCCTTTTTCCTTTGCTAAGCGTGACTATGTTGTTCTTTTTCTTTATGATCTAATATTCTTGAACCAAGTGTCCTATGATTTGGCTTCCATAAATCCCTAATCAGCTAAAATTGCATAATTTTAGCTTTTCACAGCATATAATACAATCTGCATTTCTTGTAATTATTTTCCCTTTGTTACAGTATCATTTCCTTTGTAACTTTAAATAAGAATGCCATGTAAATATGTGATCTGATTACCTCCACCTGGTATTCGTGAAATGACTTTGTGATGCATGTTTTCCCAGACGATAATGAAACGTTGCAATGTGGGAAATTCCTCACGGGGGAAACAGTGCACACAGGTGCAGGTTAACTTTGTGTTCAAACACTTCATGCAATCATGAAAGAGAAAATAGTCTCACTGTTCCTTGGAAGTTACCTCAGAGCAGGGCACTTTCTTTAATCCAGTGCATGATGTATGGGCCTCCCCCATTAAAATACACATTGTAATTCTGCTTTTGCATACAAACATTTCTGAAGATCTACAAGATGCCAGCTTTTCTCTTTACTGATAAACTTTTTCCCTAGAAGCAAGATATACGCAGTATACCAGGTCCCTTTATTTCTGACCCAAGTTCAAAGCAGCTTCAAATTTTAACTTAATGCTTGGTGAAAAAATTGTATCAAGAAACAGAGTCAACTCTCCTCACAAACACAGGACTTACTAAATCTGTCCCCAGGACTTAACCTGTGAAGCTGCTCTGCTTGATGGGAGTTTCAGAGGCTTGATGGAGAAGTTTCTTACAACCATCAGTGTAACCTGCTTTGAGGAAACTATTGTGATTTCACTTTCAACTGGCCATATCAGTGGCCAGTGCTGCCTATTCACTGATACTGCACGTCTATTAAAATTTCTTCTGAGTGATATTTAGTATCTTTCAAGTCATTGAAACACCAAAATGTTTTAGTATTCTCAAGCGCAGGGCATATAACACACATTCAGAGGATAGTCATCTCCCGAATAGGAATTGGCTCATCCTTTATTTATTTTCTAGAGTGGAAAGAATTGGTACTTGTAGTCCAGCCCACTTTCCCTCTCCAGACCTCCATTTCTTAGTCTGTAAAGTGAAAGGTTTTTCTAGCTCTGACCTTCTTTTTATTCTATGATTCATTATATAATTTCATGGATCAATTTCCAAACAGTTTATCTTATTTTTTTGTATTTCATAATATCTTTCTTAAAAATAAAAAAGCATATGGTTCTACCTTTGCAAACTCTTATGTCTGGTCCTCAATAGAAAATTAGAACGAATAATTGTGTACATGGATTTTCTTACCCATGTTTCAAAAATATGTAATTCTTGTGTGGTAGAAAAGTTTTCCTTATTTTAGACTTGCGTATAGATACAGCTAAAGTAAAGCACTGCTCCTTTTGATGCAGCGTGGATCTCAGATCTTATCATGGCGGTTTTCTGCATGCCTGTAACTCACATGGGCGTAAATGCTGCAAATAAATGGTATTCACAGCTGGCATTTACATTCACTTGGTCATTCCATGGCAAGAATTTGTGTTCTCAGTGTAGGTTTAAATTTTTCATTTTAGCATCCTGCTGCTTCTAAACCCTCTTTCAATGTGGTATTTTAAGAAAGCAGGTTGATTTTATAAATGTATGCAGAAAAATGATTCCATCCCTTTGACTTTATAGCTGCTTTGTGAGGTTTTATGTCTTTGTTAATTTCAGGTTTTGTTCCAGTTAAATGATCGAGAACTTTTCCATATAAAAGATTTTGATTAATGTCAATTTTTATCTCTTGAAAGGATCCTTCCCGGCCATTGGGGTGGAGGCGTTTTGCCCCAGCTTCCTGAGGGCGGGGTTTTTAAATAGCATCCAGGCCCCGCATCCAGTGCCAGGGGGAGGATCTTTGCCCCCCAGGATTCCTGCTGGTAGGTATTTCAGGTGAAGTTTTCTGCCACCATGTGCACCAGTAGGACTATTATCATAACTGATAGATCCACAATACAAAAATGACTATTTCTAAAGTATATTCTTAAAAAGGAATGCAAATGACTTTTTTAAATGCAAGAACCACATTTATGATATCTAATGCTATGAAAATAGCATAAAGGAAGTGGAAGAAGGATCTAGACTCTGAGCACCCAATTTGCATACTGCTGCCTCTCTGAGAAACTTTTACTTGTAAGAACTACAGCTTCGGATCTCACATATGTAACTCAAGAATAAAACAAAGATGGATTTAAGCCACTTTACCACTCAGAATTGGCCAGGAAAGAGAATTAAAAACTAAGTGTTCTTGACAGAAAGAGTAATTCCATATTTGGGTGAGTTTATGCAGATTTAATTAAAGTACCGTTGCACTAAAGAAAAATGATTTGATGAAAAACCACGAAGTAGCAAATTTGGAAGAAATTTTTGAGAAAGAAATTAACATGTGGTTCTCCCTAAAAATACCAATATGACCAAAGTTATATTTTATCAATGAGAGAAGCAAATTATGGAATATTGAGCATTTTAAAATGCAACTTCAAAGTGCACTAAAGCACTTTGTGGATTATCCATGGCGTGATTGTAATCAAAAATGGATTCTTCCCTGTTGTTTAGTAAAATATCCAGCTGCCTTCCTCTGTTGTACCTGAAGGATGCAAATCCACTTTATATTTTATATGCGTCTTAGCAAATTTGAATTAGAATATTGATTCTTGACTTTTTAATCATAATTATTCCGGTTTTATCATAATTAACAATGCTATAAATTATGGTAATGACATTAATGTTTTGGGAAAGGCTGGCCCAGCCCACAATGTAATGAGAACAGTTGAAAAGATTGGAAAATCTAATCAAAATAATTCCCAATATGCACATTTTGTGCCTTATACCAACACATCCTAAAATCCTTATATACTATTTTTCTTTGCCTTTTAATTATCCTGATTTGCCTAATTAAATCATGAAAAATAACAAACAATATATATGTTTTGATGTCACTTAGGTTCATCACTGGACAAATTACTGATGTAGTTGGAGACTTTGTGGCCAGCAATGCCATTGATAGATTAGAAACCATTCTTTTATTTAAGCAAATTAAAATATTAGCAATTTTAATTTTGATGGGTCTTATGCCAATATATTTTTCTCCTTAGATATGGAAATTCTATCAGTTGCACTGGAATTTTGTTGTTGTTGTTGTTCTAAAGGACTGGGGGAAATGCATGAAAGCTGAGCTCCCAGAGTTAACTAAAAGTATAAAACTGTAGCTTTTGCATACATAATTAATATCCCAGTGACTGAAATTAAGAAGACAAAGAGATTATTTGTAGTTTAATGGCTTAACTTTTAATAACAAATCTCAGTGAATTTAAATGATTCCAAGAAATAACATTATGAAGTTTAAGAAGTTTAGTAGTGACTTGGATAATTCAACATTACCAGAAATAAACAAACAAGAAAAAATGACATTCAGCCACTGAGAATGAGAGAAGAAAGTTGATCTTTCTACAACCCAAATACAGAAACAACTTTCCAAAGAGGGATCTAAAAGAACATTCTAGTACTCTATCCTTCTATGCTTTAAGCCAAAATTTCTCCAGCTTTTCATAGGAGTGAAAACTCAGTTTAGTTGTCATGAATTACATACAAATCGGGTGTAACAAAAAAAAAAAAAAAAAAAATCAGGTGTAACAAAATTGCTTCTATAAAAAATTTATAGATTTAAACTTGTCCTGTTCCCTTAAACTGAAATTAACTCAATTCATTTGTCCTGGTTTGTATCTTTTGGTAATTCATCCCTGTATACTTTGTATGATACTTTTCAGTAATGACTACTATAATTTCAAAGATAATTTTAATCCTCTCCTATTCAACTATAACTAGTTCCCAAGAATTCCTTTATAATTTAGTATAAGAAGAAATGAAGCAGTAATCATGAGAGGTTTTCATTGTTTCATTTAAAAAATATTCCAAAGTATGTCTTTACCATCTTATAGTTGAACTGATACCACTCAGGTTTAGGATATCAATTTGAGGGTAAGAAGCAATTCCTTTCATGGCTTATACCATGACACTTTAGATAGGTGGCTAAAGGTTGATGCTCAAGCAATTAATTTTACTTTCGATCAGTTGATTATACATATATGTGTGTCAGTACTTTGGGAATCTTGTAAAACATTTTCTATGTCACTCAAGGAATTACAAAACCTCTTCTAAAGAGGGTAATAATTTTGTTCCCAGTTACATGTAATAATCAAATTTAAATGAAATACAGCCTATGTATTGAATAAAATGGTTTTCATGCTTCATAACACACTGTGTTATCAAAGAGCAATATTTCTACAGTTCTTACTTTTATGCTAACAGCAATATGAGGAGGATCATTGAATCACATGACTCAGAAAGCAGACAAGCTTGAAATCAGTATTTATGCAATAATTGTCAAGTGCTTTAAGTTTTCATTTCTGGAAAGGCCATAGTAAATAGCAAAATGTTATTATTCTTAGTTTCAGATAGAGTAAAATACCAGGAAGTATTAGTTGAAAATTGAATGGCAAGTATAGTAATATACTTACTGAAATACCTTTTGTAGTTACCTGATGAAGTTAAGTAATCACAGGAAATAAGAGTTAAGGAGAAGAGAGAAAAGCAGAGAAGAGAGAGGAGAGAGGGGAGAGAAGAGGAGTAGAAGGAGAGGAGATATTAGAATGACATAACTCTAAAATTTTATTTTTTAAAACAAAGTCCTTTCCCACTGTGTTCCTTGCTATGTAAATCAAATTCTACCTCCTTGAGAACAGTAAATGTCCCTCTATTAAATATAGATTATCAGGGATATACTCTAAAATGATAAGCTTGTTCTCTGCTCCACCTCATTTTTTCTTTGACTTAATTCTGTGGTCAAACAGAATTTGAAAATAGTTCAGAACATTTGTATACGCCATGGAGTGTTCATTATACACAGTCATACACTGGTGGTTCACCTTATGGCAGATTCCATCTCTGCCCAAGTCCCTTATGGTTTTGATAGTTTCATCAGCTTACCATACATAAATAAAAGTGGAGTAATAAAAACTTTGAAAAAATAAAGTCATGCACAAATAGTGATGAAGTGATATATGGAGATTTCATGGATTCAGTTTTTCTGTCACTCCTCAGCAACAAGTATCTGACATTATACGATATCTCACATTTACATAAGATCCAACTATTACAATGTGTCTTAAAAGTTAGACTAATTTATAAAGGCATATTTATTATCTGCAAATTACTTAGAAAATAATTTCTTAGGATCACGTATGATAGGAGCAACAAAATTTTAGCTTACAGTTTTCTGTTAGTTGTGGGAGATCTGATCATATTTTCACTGAGGCAGTAATTCATATCCATAGATCACATTCTAGAACATTCTCAAATGCCTGCCTTAAACTAATGAGCTTTGTCAACTACAAGGGAAGTCTGTAAAGGAGAGAACATAGGAAATAGGCAACCTGTGAGATTTAGAAATAGCCAAGTCCTGGAAAAAAATTCAGTGTTGAATATTTCTGTAATACTTCCTTTGTGGTTAATCTTAGACTCTCTTTCGTTATACAGGGAGTGTGTCTCTGAAACTCCAGTTTGCCTACCTGTGCTTCATGCTATATATATAAAACACCTCTTTTGACATTTTTACCCAAGCTTCTTTTCATTGTGTGATTTGTATTAGATTCAAAGGAAATGGCAAAGATGGAGTAAGACTCCCTGTCTGCTGCTGTGAATCACACAGGAGAAATATGAAGATTCAAAAACATATTTGCAATTCCTGAGTATATAATTAATAATAATGTTTAATGTTATTTATTTGTCCTTTGGAAAGGGATTCATATTATTACCACCATCCCGTAGCTGTGCTAGAAAATGAATTCACAGTCTAGTCTTGTATAAACCAGTGACATATCCAACTATCCCGTTTCTTTAACAAAGGATGTACAGTCCTCAGCCAATATGAAAATGTCTTCACGGTCCATTAAATATGATTCTCAATATTTTTCTTTCCTTATTTCATGTGAAATCCTATCTGATAGGGAGCCATGGAAATATTGCATGCATTGTTACCAGTCATTTTTTTTTTTTTGCTAAGAAAACATATGATTTAGATTTTATAAATGAGCCAGGAATGATAAATAAGGTTAAAGCTATAGAAACTCTAGGATCTAGTGAAAGCACATATAATATTATCAGGTTTTGATGCAGATAGAGGACTGTAGAAGAGCAAATATATAAGACTAGGTAGCAGAAAGAATATACAACGAATTAAGGAAAGTTGGCACCAATGTAATGTGCCAAGGGAAATCAAGAGAAGAATAGTATGTACATTTTAAATACAATCTAACTGAAGTTCAGAAAAATCAAAGGAACCCATTTCATTTCTTCAGATAGTCAGGCATTCTAAAAAGTTAATTAATAAGTTTCTTTTAGTTGCATAATTTGATAGTTCAAAATTAATAACTTGAGATAAACTATTTCTATTGGCTACATATCCTCCAATAATGATTCCTGGAGTATTTTTCTGTAGCATGTATAATGATTTGCCTTATTTCATCTTTAACAAGATATTGATGTAATGAGTATACATAAGATGTTTTACTCTTGAGCTAAGAGATCTTCAGAGAAAAACAAAATCTTCTTTAATCTAAGGTCATATATATTATACATTTCTGCCATTGAGAATGTTGCCAATTATCCTGGCTGAGGTATGTGTGAATGAGTAAGTGTGTGCATTCACTTAAACCAAAAACTGATTACGAAGGGGAAAAAAAATTAGATTGAATGTGCAAAGCAAAATCCTAAATAAATTGTTCAAAATATAAACTATAATCAGAAGAAAACTCTTTATGTGAAATAGTAATTCCTACTTTCTTTATTCCTTGCCATTTAACATGGTTTCTAGCCCCAATAC